AAAGTAGTGAATAACCTACCTAACGAGCTTGTGTATAATGGATGGCAGAGCAGGGATTAGGAATAGCAGAAGGGCAAACTTTACAAAGGGCAGAAAAGCCATCGTCACCCACGTGCATGGTCACCCACAGCAGATAGAAAAAGAAGATATTTGGGTTTGTAAGCATTTCTTTGGAACATGATGCAAAGAATGCAGTTCATATATTCTAAATCTGGTCCATCATGGAATCTGCTTAAGTCATCAACCTTTTAGGCAATTCACTAAGGATAGTTTCACCCACCATCACAAGTTGCTGCAAAACCAAAACATAAACCAAAATACTCAACTCAAGTCATGCACTTTAATAGCCTCATCAGATCGAGATTTATATAGATGCTATGCATGGCATCAAAAATATCTAAACTATCAGTCATATACAGCCACTTGCTCAGATTAAAAATGACTTTGAGCAAAAAAAGCCTGTAGGTATTAGCAAGGAGCAACCTTCCTTGAACCTTGTAGACTGGCACTACAGAATCACAAACAAAAAAAATCTGCTAATGACCATCCTTCTTTGAACATTGTGCTACAGAACCACAAACAAAGAACTGTGCCAAATAGTAGAAACCACATCTCTTGAGGACTTTCAACAGCAACAACAACTAAAATAAATGCTGCATGTAACTTGAAGAGAAAATAATGACATAATCAAGATACTGACATTTGACACTACTTCACAAAAATGGTTGGGAGGAAATCCCCATCAATATGAGAAACAGCAATAACAGTTATTAAATTTGACAAGCTTGTTTTACTGAATAATGGTTTTTATAGAAAGATTGTATAAATTTCAACTGAAAGTAGCATTGGCTGATTGATCAATGAATGCTAAATATTTCCTTATAAAGAAATGGCTAATATTACCATTACCATTTACAAATAAAAAGAACAAGCTTCAAACTAGAAAAATCAGGCATAGAGAAAGCAATATACTTCATTATCAGATCTTTTTAAATCAGCTAAGACTTGGTATTTTCAATTAAAAAAAAAAGCAAAGAAGGCATTTTTTCAAGATAGCTAACAATGAGACATTTTTCAAACATCCACTCAGTGCTTACTCCATTTTTCATATAAGTGGCCACTACTCTACCTTTGAGCCTCCATTCAATGCTTACTCCATTTCTTATACTAGTGACCACTACTCTACCTATGAGCTTCTATTCAATGTCTATTCACTGGGAAAATATTTGTTTTCAAGATTTAGAAAAGAAAAAAAATTTCCTTATTCCGGTTACCCAATAATTTTTGATGCAATTTTCTGTCTGCAGAGTATTAGCCATAAGATTAGGCCTGTAACATTGAACTCAGCATCATAAGTGCCATCTTTCTACAGTGTCTATGCTATACTTTGCCATATGTATATGACTATCTAATTGTCTAATACAAATATCAGTGTGTAACTCTAAACACTTAAAAGACTTTGGTGCAAAGTAGAAACAGAAAGAATAAGTCTACCTTCTTGTTTACTTTGTTGCTCCATGGATAAAAAAAAAAACCTTTACCAGTAGAAATGCAAAAGAAATCTTGCTTTAGACATGAATCACTTCAGTTTATAATATGCCAATCGTCATTATCAATTCGTTCATGTTATTTTCATTGCTTTTTTATCACATCACTCATGTCGTCTTATATCCTCTGTCTGTTCAGAAAGCAGCATGCATCAGAAATTAAGATGAAAACTCCAAATAAATATGATAGTTTTATGTTATGTGAATTTCTTGGAGGAAATGTTGTCATTATCAATTTCTGACTAGTTTATCTTTCATCTTATTTTTGTTGCTTTTTGTCACAACAAAGATCATTTTATATTCTATAACCATAAAACACGCAGTTTGGTTGATAAATTAAGAAATAAATAGATGCATAGAAAATATGTGTCCTCCAACAGGAATCGAAACTGTATCCTACTTGGAACTGTCATATAGTTTCTCATGCTATACAATTTAGAGAAGAATTCACTTTGCTAACCAGTTGCTTCCAGGTTCAATTCCTGTTGGAGGACGCATATTTTCTATGAAAATTTCTCAGACATTCAGGCCCCGGTAAATGTAGTTAATACTGTTTGTTATAAACAGAGCATTTACTTAAATATTTGTATCTATGAAAATAATGTATGAATAGAAAATATATTAAAATAATTGTCAGAGTTAGTCCATTTCATAACATATATATATATATATATATATATATATATATATATGATAAATATATAGTTTTAAAGTATGCTATATTTATGGGTTAAAGTGTTCAATATCAGGGATAGAGAATATGTAAATATAAAAGTGGACATTGAAGTCAACTATAGGCAACAGTCTATTCCATGGTAAACACAATCATCAGGTCATGACGATTGTGTTTAACATGAAACAGACTGTCACCTCCACTTTTATATTTATACATTTTATGTATATATATGACTTGACATCTATAAAAGTAACTCTATACTGATACTTATTATTAACACCCAACACACGCCTACCCAATTTAAACAATTCACCCTAGCTGTTACAATGGAAATTTTTATTTCAATTATTAAAACACGTAAATTTCAGAAATACGTTATTCCAAAAAATTTCGCTTGAAGATGGAACAGAGCTTACTTTAACTCAATTTAATTCAAATAATTATATTGAAGTTTTCAGCTCTTGTTTTGAAACATGAGACCTCTTATGTCGCGAGTTGGAATCATATTTTTAAATTAATAATTATATATACATATATATATATATATATATATATATATATATATATATATATATCCATGTATATATATATATATATATATATATATATATATATATATATATATATATATACATACATACATACATGGTGGAGTAATCCTCTTTTTCTCCCTCCAGCTATGGGTAAATAGCAGGACGGACTGGGTTCTATAGCCTTGGCTGGCAACTGGTCTAGAGAAGGACAACTCTGGATTCAAAACCTGTGGAGGGTCGTTTGGGGACCTTGTGGCACTCAGTGCACCTGGTCTCTGTATTCGGACATTCAAAAAGTGTGGATGGTCCTGCACAAAACCTTCACCACTATAATCAAATCTCATGTGCTGTTGTCAGGCTGTCAGTTTCCTGGGAACTGATCTGCTTGACCCTCATACGTTGAATTCGACAGGAGAGTCAACAACAACGATGATATATATATATCTCACAGGAAAAGGTTGTCATAGTTGCGGTTATATTGGAGACAAGCTCTGTCTATAAAATTCTTTCATGGCATGCATCTCAAATAGATTCTGACAACTAAGTGCAGCCGGAGAAAAAAAAAACGGTAAACAATTGTCATCTCATAACCAGCTACTTTTGGTAGATGGTGCTAGACAGCCCAGGAAGGCAGTTTGTCTTGGAGATGGAAAACCCCAGTTTTAAACCTCTGCTCCTTTGTGGTCATATTTAAACATAGAAAAGTCTATGGAAGTAAATCCACACAGAAGACCTTGAGTGGAGACCTGAAAGCAATTAACTGTCAACACTGACAACTTTCTAGCATTTCCTGCACCCAAGCCAGTCCCAAATTTAATATTCTTTGAAAAAGAAGTGAAAATCATTATGAAGTTTTTAATGGTATTTCTTTCATCTTATTTCTCTTGTTCTTTATGACAATAGTAATATTAGTATAGATTTCTTATATGAGGCATTTATTAATTATTATTCATCTTCTGGGGTCGTTGTGAAGATTTATCCCTGTCAATTCATTGTTTTTTGCATTGCATATTGATGAATATAAGCCATTTTTCATTACTTCTTATGATATATTTAAGGAATCTTTAGTTAGGATGATAGACACAGAAATTTCAGTATCTTGGCAATGTAGCAATAACAATGGAAAACAACACAGAAATCCAAAGGCATATTGTAAAAGAGAAAGATGTCTTTCCAGAACTGAACAAGGTATTCTTCTTCCTCTATGTACTGTGACCCTTCAGGACATTGGCAGTAATGGCTCTCCACAATTTCCTGTCCCTTGTAGCTCTTAATAAATTTTGTCTTTTTGTTATCTCTCCTAAACCTTGCTCTGCCATCCAAGCTCACTTGATAGGTTATGCACTGTTTTTATTCTGTCCCTTTTGCCTTCAATCTGTGCTGTGAATATCAAATTTTCCAAGCCCTCTTTCATACTATCTCTTCCTAATGTTAAGTATAAATATCCTTTTTTATTCCATATTCTCTAAAACTTTGTCATTGTTCCTATGTTCAGTCCAATATCTTTTTGTAAAACCACATTTCTATTGCTTCAAGTCTCTTCATTTGTGCAGAGATTGTTTGGTTTAGTTTAGTTTAGTTTGGTTTGGTTTGGTTTGGTTTAGTTTGTTTTATGGCATATCAACTACAATGGGTTATTTAATGCTGATAATTTTTATTGCTGGTAATATTTTTTTTTTCCAAAAATGTATTACTGGTGATAATGTATTGCTGGTAATAATTTTTTTCCTCAAATTTATTGCTGGTAATAATTTTTTACAAAGTATTTCTGGTATTAAAACCTATTTTTACTCTTTCATAGTGTTTTGACTCCAGTTTTGAGGTTAACTATTTGCCCATAGCTGAGACCCTAACAAATGCTACCACCCCAGGTCAGGGTGGACCTGGGTACACCAGCAATTAAGAGGTGGTTCCATGCTCCTCAAAATCTGATCAGAGGCCTTGCTGTTGGATGTAGTTTATCGCTTTATCCAGGACACTAATGTAGTTTATCATCATACCCAGGATGGCAGAAACTGTCCAGTATTCACTGCTATATAGGAGGACTGATATTACATAACATGTTCAGTACTCTTTTCTTTGTTTCTAATGAAATTTTTCTACTTTGCCAATAAAAAACCTATTGTTGCATGCATTTTATTGACTATATTATTTTGCAGCAAAATATTTAAATTTTAACATCCACTGTCTTCTATTGTGGAATTCTTCAAATAACAACATCCTTTTAGTGTAGTTACTTGTCATATGAAGCATCCTTATGATGACATGGCTGCCTTTTACAAAGCATCTTTCATGAGTTACTGTCCTGCCAATTTATTGGTGACTTGAAATTAATTTTGACTGGTATTTCTTTAATCATCATTTTCATTTGCTTTTTTATTGCAATTCTATGATTCTCATTCCACAATTACTTGTAGACAGCATTGAGGATAAATGAAGAATAAGCTTTTATAGATGGAAATAAGAAATACTAGTCAAAAATTAATAATAATTAATAAATGCTTCATATAAGAAACCTATAATGATATTAATATTGTCATAAAGAACAAGAGAAATAAGATGAAAGAAATACAATTAAAAACTTCATAATGATTGTCACTTCTTTTTCAAAGAAATTCAGACTATTATATCTAATAGTACTAGTGTAATAGAAGGCAAGAGAAATAAGATGAAAGAAATACCAGTCAAAAATTAATAATAATTGACAATGTTTATCTAATGCTTCATTTGCCAAAAATGGATTATCTATGGTCAGGAATCAATGCAAACATAACTGGTGAGACTGGGACTGTTCTATGCATACATTTGAATAATAGTATTTGAGAATCATAAATGTCTTTTCATATTTGCAATTTGTTGCAAAGCATTCATTTTAATGTACAAAAATGACATGAAGTTATTTAATTTTCTCTTTTTAGTTAACCTTGTCTATCAATCGAATCAACCGTTATGCTCCAGTCTTCACCCAAGACAATTACTTATTCATCACTCGTCGAAATGTGTCAGCTGGGAGCTTCATTGGTCAAGTGAGTGCCTTTGACCAGGATATTGGACGGAATGGAAGAATACACCGGTACAGAATCTATGGTGGAAATGACGGTCAGTGGAATTTTTTTCTTTATTCTACTTGACTTTTCTCAAAAATAAATTCCTTTTTATTCTTCTTATCTCCTTCTGAGAATATATATATATATATATATATATATATATATATATATATAAAACACTTTTATCTGCTTTTCACTAGATTACAATATTCACCACCCATCTGATTTATGTTTTAAACTTTGGAAATGTTTTTCATAACTTTTCTCTTCATTTTTGTAAAGAGATTTTTGTTGCAATGATTGAAAAGTTTAGTATTTGTTGTAAATTAAAATCGTTCATCATTTATTGTTCTTTTCAACAAAAGTAAGAGAAACATGCAGTGTGGTGTAATGGATAACAGCTCAATATGAAAAATTAGAGAGTTGAGTTCAAATTCCACTTGAGTTCATTACATTACAGTTCTCTGTATTTTGCTCTTCCAAAAAGTGTAGTTGGTTCTGCATGAGCTTTCACCACAGTAATCTAACCATATGTGTGAGTAATCTGGTTATTTGGTTCTAAGAAGATATAAATCCATCTCTTTTACCCCCAATTAAGGGTTGAATAACAGGATAGACTAGGTCCTATAGCTTTGGTTGGCAGCCATTCTTCCACACGAAAAATGGCAGCCTACTGCATGAAAATCTTCTGCCTAGTCAGTCATAAATTGAAAGAGACATATGGCACTGAACTGACTCAAATTTTCTCCCTTTCATTGACTTTTTACTGTCCAGCCACCATAATCATTTTTTTAGAGCAGTGATTTTCAACCAGTATGCCATCAAAATCTTTAAAGGTCATTAATTAAATTATTTTTTTAAAAAGTCCAAAGGACAATATGTGTACATATAAAAAATGAAAACCTCTTTAAATTGATTATATGACTACATCATTGTTATAATAAATAAACATATACATAATATATAAAATATTATAAAAAGAAAGCTTTTCTGCAATAAGCAATATTAAAAAAAATCGAACACAACTAGAATCCTAAAAAATAAATAGTGTTTATTATTTTTGTTTTCAATTCTTAAGGACAAAGAAAATGTATAAATTCACTTTCATATGTTCAGGTGTTATGGGCACCTCAACATGGTGTAATGGTTAGAAAGCTTGCCTTGCTAGATCACTGAATGGTGAGTTCACTCCTCACTGGGTGCCACATGCTTCTGACCTTGTGCCACATCTAATCTACACTTAGAAAATCATTAAATGTTCAGGTGTTATTACAATTCTAATCATCACTTTTTAAAACAATAAACATTGCCAAGGATGGAAGGTAGTTAAAATAATAGTGGCATCAATGGAAAAAAATCATCCTTTTGACACTTTTTTTTTCTGGGTATGAAGGTCCAATTTTGCCACATTTTCTTTCAGTATTGAATAGTAACATGTTTTTCTTTCCCAAAACAGGAATTGGGAGTCATAACTATTACAAGCTCTCTAGAATACCAAAATAGAAATTAGAATGTTAGTCTAAAGAAAAAAAGATTTCTACAAATGAATGACTGTTTATGGATATTCACAAATGTAGGGTTGATTCTATGATTTTATTGTCATTATTCTTTCTTACTGACAATGTTGCACAATTTTTTTTCTTTACTTTTTTTCAGTTGAAACAAGGGACACAACTCTTATCTTCTTATACTCTAATCAAACCCTACTGCTATCTGCTACAAGACAACTTTGTTTAAAAACAAATGCAGTATCTTCTTCGTTCATAATCAATGAACCTATTTCTGTCAATTTGAACAGAATTAAATCCATCATCAATTCACACCACACAACTTCCATCAAAGATCAGAACATTATCAGTCGATCACATCAATATTGTGTTCTTTCAGTTTATTTTATATTCCTAGTCAGTCTCCATTAAAAATGTCATTAAATGCTGCGATCCCAACAATTAACATTACATTAATAAGCACATTATCAGAACAGATGTGTATATATATACATAATATCCAACTAATATTCACTAATATATACTTATAGCTCTGTTTCATAACACTGAGCACTGTATTTATAACACCTGAGGAAGAAATATACTTACATACATGTAATATCTGTGTTTATGTACATTTTTAATCTGCCCATTCCCATATATATATATATATATATATATATGATAAAATAAAGAACAAATAGGAAATGTATATCAATCTAACATGTTTCACTTCTATTAAAGCTTTATCAGAGATTGAGAAAAAACAGACAATTTGTTTGGGTCAATTCTCATTGGTCAGTCACATATCACATGCCTTAAAACTGTAGATAATTCTACATGTATGTAAGTTTGTGAAAATTATTGTATGTCTAAGTGGGTTATCAGATGGTAATGTGTGTTCATAATTGAGCATGTGTGCCTGTCGAGTGAGAGTTCTAATGTCTTCACCTTTGTGCAGTCAAGCTAGCACAACAGGGTGTCACATCATTCTAATTTATGGCTGATCTTTTTAAGCATATATTTTATGTATTAGATAGATATAAGTTAGATTCTTTAAGAATTAATTCAAAGAAGGATGGGGATGAAATATTTTAGGTGTGTGTTTATAGTTGGTAATAAGGTTATTATTAAGTTTTCAATATATTTTCTCCTCAAAGATTTATGTTCTTTTTTAATTAGGGTGGCATTAGGGAAATCAAAGTTTCAATGCAAAACGAGAGGGTTAGATCGTTTGTTCAAATACAAGTCTCTCTTGTGCTCATAGATGTGGGGTTTTAGATTACATGATGTCTCCCCCACATAAACATTTTTGCATTGTAAACAATTTATTTGATAAATCCAAGCATTTGAATTTGTGTTGGGGTTATTTTTCTTTTTAATTATATCTCTTATTGTCTTGGTGGTGGTGGTGATAACAATCTTAGTATACACAAATTGATAATCCTGCCGTCCAACGCTCTTTCTACTTAACTCAGAAACAAATTAGCCATAGTCAAGAATGATTTTATTTTTACTTTTAAATGAATGCATATTTTTTTATGTATAAAGTTATAGGAATGTTGATAATAGCTGAAAGACATGCAGAACATTCAGATCATTTCTACACAATTTATGTCCATAAACGAAAAGAGAGGCACAGTGGAGTAATGGATAGCAGCACTGATTGAGGAATCAGAGAGCTGAGTTCAAATTCCTGTTGAATCCATTACATTCACTTACATGCTAATATCCTTGGGGAAAGGTATGAATTCTTTTCTTCTTCCCCCAGCTATGGGTAAATAACAGGGCAGATCAGATTGTATAGCCTTGGATGGAAACTGGTCTACTGCAGAAGGAAATGGCAACCTACTGCAGAACAGATTAGTCATGTATCAAAAGATACATGACCGCCAAAGCATGTATCACGCATGACACATAACTGAAATGAAAAAATTATAAGAACATGAGAAAAATTAAATAAAAAAACCTAACCACAATACCTTGTCAGTTATTTTTAATGAAACTTGTATAAAAGAGGGATTGCTGCTCAAATAAACAATTATATATAAAGTCCGACAATTTATTTATTAAAGACATTTTTATGTTTAATAAATAAATTGTCGGACTTTGTCCATTTCTTAATATATGACGTCATTTGTTTACATTTGATACGTCAGAGCAGTTATGAATGTACGAGATTCATGGAAGATTGAAGTTTATAAGCAGTAAATTCGACCTTGTCTACCGAACGCTTCTTTGTGGCCGTTTGGTAAGGCACGTCAGCGTAAATGACGGTTCCGTATAGGATGCAGGTTCGAATCCTGTCAAAGAACGAATATTTTCTATGAAAATTTCTCGGACATTCAGGCCGGTAAATGTTATTTAATACTGTTTATTATAAACAGAGCATTTACTTAAATACTTGTATCTATAAAAAGAACGTTAAACATAAAAATGTCTTTAATAAATATATATATATATATGAGTGTGTGTGTCTATATATATATATATATATATATATTGTTTAAAACAATAGTTATATATATAAAGAAGGAGAAGAATGGAAAGAAATGGAATAATAGTAGTTTTGATTGCAGAAGTGCCCGCTAAAGTTTTCGATACAATGCAATGGTCAGATATTTAAGCCCCCACATTAAAACTCTCAACAAAAAGGAGAGATAGAGAGGAGTAAGAGGTAAGGAAGGAGTAGAAGGTAGGAAAAAAGAGGAAGAAGAAATGTAGAGATAGTGGTAGGATAAGGTCATAATAGTAATCGAAAAAGATTCCACTGCTGAAGGAACAACTATTTTAGGTCAGAAACAAGGCTGACTTACCCCAAGTTTAGGTTGGAGTTTCTGCCTCTTGTTTTTAGATAAACTTAGTATGTTAATTAATAAAAGTATGTAAAAATACATGTTAGTTTTAAAATACTACAGTAAATTTTTGTTCGTTTATAAGTAAAAAACATAGAAGGTGTGAACTGCTAAGATAAATTTTCTATAAAATTGAACCTATTATCAAACTATATACGTTGTAAAATAAGTATAGATATAAATCTAATTATCTGATATTATTGCTAGTATTGTACATGTGCATAAAACATTTTAGAATTGTAATTTGGGATAAATCAGTAAAGGTGTATAAGACCATATAAAATATATGAAGGAGGTTTGAAGGTTTAGCAAGATTGAAATGTTAGATCTTTATTGTGTCTACAAAAAATGGTAGTCTCAGATCTTTGATTTAACAATTGACTATTATCGAAAAGCTTAATAATACATATTTTTTCTTGCAGACATAAGAAACAGAGTTCTTTCAAAGATTTGCAAGTTCTGGCATGTTTGAGGATTTTCCACTTAACTTTAGGTGTTTTGTTTTCTTCCTTCAGTTTCCAAAAATATTTAGAAGTCATGTTGTGTTTGCTTGCATTTCTAAAAGAGGATATGTGGTTATAATATCTCTTCTTAAAATCATTCCTAGTGGATCAACATACAGCTTTATATTATTGGGGTTTTCAGTTGATGAGATGGAGCACATATATACAATGGATTTCATTCAGCCCTTGTTTGATAATGAGCATTGG